ATGAACAGTCTTGACTTATAATACAGGATTCAATTTGCTTCAAATAGTAATAGTTCAAATTAGCTTCAGTGAAGAGCTCCTTTAGGTCTTCAATTCCTGCCTTAATAGGACTTCTATATCCTGCTTATTAGTAAAATAAAGATATTTCCCCTGAGAATACATGAGCTGAGCTGAACAATTTTAAAGAGACAAGGTTTAAAAATTCAAATTAATATAGTTTCAAGCTGTTATTTTTCCAGAGTTAGGAAGAAAATGAAAGGCTCTGCCCTTTATGGCCAAATTATTATGTAAGAATGTATAGAGCTCAGAGCAGAAAAAACAATTCTTATAAAAAGCAATTCTCTGAGCTTTATTCATATTTCTTTAAAATGCTACTTTCAAACTTTATTTTTCAACAAAAATACCAAGTAAGAACATGAAGACACTGGGGAAAAGTTGGAGATACTTCAAGCATTAGGGAGCTCAAACTCAAGTCCCGCATTTCCTACGAGTTAGTCTGATTTAGATCCCATAATAGGGAATGCCTAACAGCAAGATATTAAAAGTATTGTTCTGAAAATTTAACATTAATCACAAAATTATGAATAATCACTATGTGCACAACACTATGTACAACATCATTAAAGTAACTGCTTCTCATTTTGCCAAGAAATATCACACAGAAGTTAGAGGATTACTATGCTAGAAAAACAAAAAGTCATTTATTAAAATGATTCAGATGACAGAAACAAAATATTGAAGAAGGGTTAAAAAAAAAAAGTAACCTTCACTAATATTCAAGTCATGAGACAGCAAGCAGAAGTGTAACTAGGGGGAATGTTTACTTACGAAACTGCCTTAAAGTCAATAGTCTTATAAATGAATCCCTCCTTTTAGAAGAGTTTTCCATAAAAGTTACAGTACGAGAAAACTTTGTTTTCGAATAACATACAAAGTTTACTTAATATTAGGCAGATAAACACTGCCTCTTTAAAAAGACATACCTGATTAACACAAAATTTTTATATTTTAAATACTACTTATCTCTAGCCAATACAAGCATCAGTTTACTCAAAACAAAATTTTATCTCTGTAAAGTAACTAGTTTAACATTTCATTTACCAAGCATTACCAGTGGAAGGAATAGATACCTGAAAGTTATGTAATTCTCAAAATCATACTACTTCAGAGATATCAAGAAAATTAACTTCAACAAATTACGCCACCTTTAGAAAATCCCTCCAACACCCAGTAGTCAAGTATGTAAGAGCCTATTTAAATTATTTCAACTATCACTATTAGAATTAAGATAAGCAGCCTCACTCTTGAATACTTCCCTAAACTGGGGGATGGTGGATGTAACAGAAAACAGCTCCAATTAAGGAGACTTAAAGAGGTGTAATTACCGAACACGTTATAAATGTATTCTTTTGTTGTGACAAAATTTTTTTCAAACGCTAAAATCTTTTTTCCATGATTCAGTTACAGAGAAAATCCTATGTTTTAATTGCACAGGTTAAAATTTGGAATTCATTTAATGTATATTTTTTCTTTATGCTTCCAAGAATTAAAACCAATAAAAACATTATTCTGGGTTAGCTAAACACTGTACTGTATGTTGTTACTGTTCAAAAGAAAACGCAATCTGGATAGAACAGATGTGTCGCTTAAACACAGGAAGGAACAAAAGTAATACAAGTTTTGGCCTCTCTTCCATTTCCTTCTTTACTCCTCACAACATACACACATAAACATGTTTCTCACCAAGTAAAAGCAAATTTTAGTTGGAATCAAATGTGGATACTTTTCATGTGTGCATATTGCATAAAACAATGTTAAGGCTGAAAAAGAACCTCAAAAATGTTCCAAAACCACAACAATTCAATGTACTAAGTTTACCACGATTCAATTTCAGTTTGGCTACCTGAAAATTAGTAATCTATCCATACTGACAGGTCTGTTATACCCAAACTCTTTTATTATCCTTTTATCAAATGTGTAGTGTATATGCATACATACCACACACACACCACCTTCCCACTCTTCACAAGGGCTCTACATTAACATTTGCTCTAATGTGGTGAAGTTTGAAAATTGTAAAAAAAAATCACAAGCATTTCCACATGACCCTTCAACCTTAATGTTCAATGCATAACTTTGGGATTAAGAATGCAGATTTCAGTATCCTGTGGCATTTCGAATGATCAAACTTATCCATGAAGTTAAATTTAATAGTTTGAGGAGAAAATGACCAGTAACTTTTTCCTAAAAGTGAAAGTGGAAAATTTGACAAAACATTTCATGCCTCCAAATCAAGAACATCAAATTTTGTCAATTTACTAATAAAGATCAATATAGCAATACCAGCTTTACTGAGGCTGTTAACACAAAGTAAATTACATAAAATTACATATATCAAATACTTTTTCTTTATTAACACCACAGTCAAACGTGAATATTAATATAGAGCCTTCTCTGCCCAAAAGAGTATAAAAATCCTAAGTTTAATTAAATTTAGGGGCCTTCACCAAACTTGCTGCAAGTTTGGGGACATAAATATCCAACAGCCATAAAGCTGTGAAAGCCCCTATAAGGAATAAAATAAATCCCACTTGCCTCAGACTGAACAGGGCAACACTGAGACTCAGCCTCAGCCTGTCCTATGGCAGGGCTATAGGAAGAAGAAAATTTTAATTTTAGAAAAACATTACCCAATTAATTTAAAAGACATGCATTAAAAAAAAAATCCCAATGATCAAGCAAGCAAAGGAAAAAAGAGCAGCTTTAAAAAAAAAAAAAAAAACTATTGTCTGCTGTAATTCCACTCTGAACCCATACTTATTTTTGTTGGGGATCTCCCCCCAAATAACTAAGTTCAATTAAGCTGAATATGTAACTTGATCAGTGGAATAGGAGTACACTAGGAGTATTTTCCCCATTCCTAATGGTAAATGTGTGCGATTATTACTAAAATATAAGTATTCAAATTAAATAATTCCAGCAGCCACTCAAAAGTTGATCCTCACCTGCTGGTCTTGTCATACAGCAGGTAAAATCTATACACGGTAGAAACTAGTGCCAGACAAAACGTTGTCACTTTTTTTTTTTTTTAAAGGTAACATAGGAGTGGGACTACGGGAGAGCCAAAGTTGGCAGTCCCATTAATCTTACAACTTCCTAAATTATGGCAATCACAATGCCTGCCTGAATAGAGCAAGTCCTAAAGGATGTCTTCTGTGAGGGCAAACAGAAGTTTACTTCAATTCAACTCCATCTCTTATTTTAAGGAAGCATAAGTCAAAGTAAGAGTTAATTATTTCAACTGATTTGTTCCTCTCATGATTTAACCACACTATGGACCCCAGAAGCAGTTAGGTAAAAGGTATTTTCTAGAAGCTTAATTATGCTGATGCATGCACAAACAACATTAAATATACCAAATGGTCACCACCTGAGCCATATACCTAACACAACAGGAGACTGTGTGCTTAAGAGTCATGCATTAACACTTTGGATTAACTTTTTAATTAAAATTAAAATTCTACAACTTATTTAAAAGTAGTATTTTCTCCCTTCAGACTTCAGAAAACCTTGATATAAAATATCAGTTATCTTTGCATTAAATGGAAATAAGCTTTGCATAAGTTTTGGAACATTACTAACCCACTTGTATTTTGTTGATAAGCCTGTACATGAAATGCCTGAAAAACATTTGGTTTGGGAAAACATTTCCTATTTAATCGTTCTTAATTTAATCATGCCATTTTTACCTTACAGATTTTCAACACAGGCTCTTCTTTGGCAGTCTGATAAATGTGCTGCCAAATCTAAATGTATGTTAATTCCGAAACTACTTAGTAGGCAGGTGTTTGGTGAGGGAAAGGGTAGCGGTACGGGGCTTAGCCACTGGCAGAAGGAAACGCATTCTTGGTGATACACAGATGTTGCCTTTTCAAACTATGGAGTTTTTTGAACTCGATGGTACAATTAAAGAGCTATAAAACATTTCACTGGAGCAAAATATCCGATTTAAAACAGCAGCTTTGTAAATATTTGTATGTTTTGTTTAAATGAATAACTTTTACTTGTCACCTAAATACAGACTCTTTTATGATTAAAAGTTTTCAAAGACAAAAACTCAGACTTCATGTCATCTCTACACCTTCACATACAGGTTATAAAAAATTATCACCATTTTCTTACAGGTCTTAACTTTATGTTGAGAAAAACTCAACTTGAGTTCATTATATCAATAATTATGCTTTGTACAGTCATCTGATACTTAAATAATCATAAAAGTACCTTGCAAAAAACAAAGATCGAAAAAATGGTACCAAAAAAGGCCAACAAGAGCTATTATTGTAGGAGACTTGCAACGCAAGATACTAATAGCAGTGTCACCTCTACAGAAAACTACTTCACAGGACACAGTAACATTCAAATTTCCAAGAATGAAAAGGTTAACAGGAAAGCCATTTAGGCTTTATAATAACAGAAGGTAGCCACCTTACTCAAAGAAATAATGTAATTTTTCAGGAACATAATAAATTTTGAATCCATCTGTTAACTGTCCTAACAGAGGCACATTTAGATTATTTTGGTGAAATTTCACTTAGAAAAGATTCCAATCCATTAACAGCAAAAAGCTATTACTGCATGCACCTAAGCTTCTAGAAGTCTGCACCTGAAAAGCTTCTGAGGTCCACGCAGTACTGCAGTCTCAAAAATAATCAGAAGGAAATGAGTGGGTCTGGCACTAGGCTCTAAACTTCATCAGTAGGAGAGGGCATACTAAGGTTTACATTTTAAATATCTAGGACATCTAACATGTAGTGACACCAAGGGTGTGGAAAGGTGACACAATATAAAGATTTCATACCCACTATGTAATGACTCGTATGTATCTAAGTTTTTCTGTCAACTTAAGCACTAACATACAATTCTATATATATTGTCCAGTTTAAAACATGCAGCTAAGGAACAACCTACAATTCAAAGAATCCAATGATATATCAAAACTGTATTGGTAACTATGAATTTTATTATGTGGACATCTACTGTGGCATGCATCTGTACAAACCTTTCAGGCAGTGGTCCACTGGGTTATGAATAAAAAGGCATAAGTTTTTCTCTCATTTTATTACAATGAAGTTTAACAGTACAGAAAAGTCACATGACCTTGGTGGGTCAGATTTCTTAAACCCTGCAACATGAGGAACTCTAAATACATTAAATATTGTTATACATTCAGACTTCCAATGTACAGGTCTCGGAAACAGTTACAGCCCTCACCAAGCTAGGTTGGGGACATGAAGTCCAACAGCATCTGAAATGCTGTGAAGGCATAACTTTACAAATAGCAATGTAAGCTTACAGAACTTGCCTTTATTAAGGTGGTATGTTCATGTAATTCCAGCGCCTTCACAATATAACGAACCAAATTTACTATACTTCACTTCTAAAAACCTAGATGAAACATGAAAAAGAAGCCATACAGTATAAATTGCAACTTCAGGAAAAGTTCCTGCTTTATTATTCCAAATAATTTTTCCCATGTAAAATAAATGTCCAATAGTTCCTGGTATGTGGGAAGATAATGTTTGTTAAAGTCACAATGAAGCCTTATTGACGGAAGCTTGGCTATATAAACAGCACAAGTTGAGAAAAGGTTTAATCTCCAAACCTATTAGATTGGATGAAGTAAGATCAGTAACGGCCACCTTGCGACATTACAGGAGGTCTCATTCCCATCGGAGGTCGAGGAGGCCCACCTTGATAAGGGGGCACCATTGGCGGTCCCTGCCCATACGGTGGCATAGCACCAGGAAGGTAACCTGGCATGCCTTGATGATGACCACCATACTGACCTAAAAAACACATTTAAAACACAAAAAATAGATTGAGTTGGTCTGTGCATTATACTTTTAAATGCAATGTATTTTGCAGATAAATTTATGTGTATACTCAGAAAATCCACTAAATACAATAAACAAATACAGTAAACATAAAAAGAAATACCATGAGGCGGCATTGGGGGTCTCATTCCTTGTTGCTGTGGGATGCCTGGCTGTGGTGGCATCATACCTCCAATAGGTCCAACTGGTGGATTACCAATGGGAGCCTGGCCTGGTCGAGGAAGATTACGTTGATATTTAGGTAACTGTGCCCTTCTCTCTTCCTACGAATAAAAATGAACACAATGTTAAACACTTGAATGCAGAGAGCAGTCATTAAGCATAAAAGACAAACATTCAAAATCTTACAGAGTAACTTTTTAAAAATGTACCCTTACTTCCCAACCACTATTCTTGCTCCACAAACCAGTCCAACTGCTTAAAATCTCAATGCCTCAAGAAAACCTATTTTTATATTTGAAAAATGGCTAATAACTTCCCAGGAATTATACACTGCCTCAGCAAGAAAGTGTCTAGTGATGAAAGTCGCTTCAAAGGATCTGTATATTCTACCCTCACCACTTAACTATTTCACCATTTACAAATTTATGTGTAACCAAAATGATTTTTGAGTTAAGAACCCAACTTACTGTCTTCTTTCAAAAAGTCTGGGAGTAGGGGAAAGAGTGTGTCTAAGATCAAAACACACAATATTCCCTTTATTTTGTGGTTCTTAATAATCAGAATAAAAACCACACAGTAAGCATTAGATCAGATTATAAGACCATTGTTGTACAAATTAATACTTTAAGAGGAAAAGTTACTACAACGGTATTCAAACTACGCTAGTAAAAACCTGTGAAAAACTTACCAATGATATATCCTCATCTGGGTGGATCAACTTACTGGTTGCACTGGTTGTCGTAAGTGTAGCAGGCTTACTTGTTATTGAAGCCGCTGGTTTAGCTGCAGTGCTATTTGTTGTACTAGTGGTTGAAGCTGTAGACTGTGTATAAGCAGGGAATGTAGGCTTTGGGGGTTCTGTAGTTGTTGCAGGGGTACTATTTAAGGGCTTGAAATCTGTACCAACAGGTCCTTGGACAGCTGCCTGAGCCTGGAAAACACAATCTTTCATTAAGCAAACTTCAAAAGCCAAAATTGAATAAATCTATTATAATTAACTTAGAAATGAGATACCAACATTCAATAAAGGACCAAACTTTCAATGAAATTAAAACAAATTTAACATAATTAAAACTCCACAAAAAATTAAGATGATACACAAGAACATCAAAAGATGTTGGGTCAAAGTCACATCCAAAACTCAGCAGTGGAAACAAAAAGACTGCATATGTAACTTCTAAGATGTTATCTACCTTCCCACCAAAATGTACTTGCTTTACAAAGCTTTGTAGTTATTTCAGACTGATGAATTACATTGTATCAGAATAGCATTTTCTACTTTTACTATTCTAAATTAGTTGTTTAATCAATCTACCAAGCACCTCAAAAAAAAAAAAGAGTTAGAAATTACAAAATACAAATGTTTGGATAAATTTTAGTTACTAAGCATAGCATGAACAGTATCAGTGGTGACACATTAAAGATGTCCCTTCAGAGATATCTTTATAGAGATAATACAGTGTCCTCCCAATTAACAATGGCTAGATGATTATCATGGACAAAAGGGCTTAGTAGGATCTTTTAAGCGTAAAGTTACCAGTAATAAATGTGTTACTTTTCATAATACCAAACATCTGAAACATGAAAACTAGGCCAACTTTAGAACCAAATACAAAGTACTAAATTTCCTTACATTATATGTGATGCATTAGATTAAACAGCATAAATCAAAAAAGCTTAATCATGCATCAGACTAACCATTGGCCACTATAATGCATTTACTGCTTACATGCTTTTAACCCTTTAGAACCATAGGAGTTTGGGGTACATTTTTTTCTATTAGTATGAGTTCAAATTTTCATATACCATTGATTTTTATACCATTAACTTTAAAAAAAATTAAACATAGTATATTTTTTGGGAAAAGATTTAGTTTTAAAGTAGGGTCCAAAGGGTTAAGTTTATAAAGCCATTTTAACAATTTTAAACTGCAACTTCCTGCGTACTTGTGCTGTGCTAGGAAACAGAGCTTTAGAAGATGCAGACAGACTTTCTGAATTGGATGAAGCTGTACTTGAGCTTGTTACAGGTGTCCCCATCTGTAGCATAAAAGAAAGGAAACAATGAAAAGTCTCCAAACAAATGGGTGAAAATAAGCCATGTGGTAGACTTTTTTTTAGTATAGATTGCATTTTTATAAATGCAAACTATAATGCAATCAAATCTGATTTATTTAAAGAGGCAGGCAGTTAATGCATTTACAATATACAAAGACAGTATGAGCCTCAAAAAAATCTTTAATTCTACACCAATAAACCTAGTTAACCAGTTTCTTTTCTAAAACTGGATGTTTTTGCACTGTGATTTTTCCAAAAATGATACCTTCAATTGAGAATAAAGATGCATTACTACTGACACTTCAATCCAATTCTCTATCAATGACTCCACAAGATTTTTGCTGAAAGTTTGACATCTCTCAATAAACAAAATCCCCACCCACCTCAAAAAACATAAGATATGTGCTTACAGGGGACTTAAAAAGTAATGCTTTGAATTTAGCAACCATAAACAGAAGAAAATTAAGGAAAAGAAAACCTCTATGGGATAATGTTAAAGTGAAAAAAAGAACACACATCCTGATCTTAATTGTGAATGAATTAAATACACCTGTTTCATTTTGAACATAACTGGGAAAAAAACAGCAAAAGTAACAACCACTATACACATACGATAACAAAAGCTCTTTAGCTTCTGAGTTCTGAAAAAAGACAAGGTCAGTAAGAAAGATTAAGTCTAGGTCAAATGATGCCCTTCCTGCAAAAGTGTAGCACTGTCATTTGTCACTGTTCTAGATTAAAGAGTCCAACGTTTCATTCCACTCACAGTTCAAGCTAGGTAAAAGAGGACCTCTAAACATTATCATGTATTTAAGTCCCCAGAAATTAGACTTTCATTTCTAACCAGAGTTCACAGCTATGAAAAAAATAACATACTATCTGGCTCTAGTCAATGTGCGCAAACATGCAAGAGAACAGGACACTTCTTTGTATTCAATAAGTTAATTAAAAAGATTATAAACAAAAAATTGACCTATGACAATTTCAAGCATTTCCAAAAACAACTACACTTTACCTTTAAATATAAGTGCACTCCTTTTCAGGAATTTCACCTTACCTGTCCAGCACTGGGGAAAAGAGGCTTAGTAACTGGAGGCTGTGGAGCAGGAACTGTTGCTGTTGGTGCAGGTGGTCTATTAAGAATGCCTGGTGCTGAAACAGCCTGCGCTTGAGTCATTGGAGGAATTCCAGGACGGGGAACAGGAGGGGGAATACCTATAGAGAAGAAATGTTGAGAGGATGGGGGGGGGGTGTTGAAACATTTAGCTCAGAAAAAAATTTTCCCAAAACTCTGTTTGTTAAAATATACCATATTAAAAATGCTTCTAGAGGTGCCTTAGGTGGCTCAGATGGTTGGGCCTCTGACTCTTGATTTCTGTTCAAATCATGGGATCAAGCCCCGCATCAGGCTCCATGCTGGGTATGGAGACTGCTTAAGATTCTCTCTCTCCCTCTCTCTATGCATCCCCCTACTCACATGCTCTCTTTAAAAAAAAGTAAATAAATAAAAAATAAAATAAAGGGGTGCCTGGGCGGCTCAGTCGGTTAAATGTCTGCCTTCAACTCAGGTCCTGATCTCAGGGTCCTTGGGATCGAGCTCCGAGTCAGGCTCCCTGCTCACCAGGGTGTCTGCTTCTCCCTCCCTTCCTCCCTGCTTCCATGCATACTCTCTCTCAAATAAATCAATAAAATCTTGAAAAATAAAAATAAATAAACAATGCTTCTATGCTACAAAGTTACTGATGAACTGTTCAAGTCAATGAAGTCAAATAACTTAGGCATTTGCCCATTGGAACAATCTTGCCTCAACCTTTCTATTCCTTTGTTTATTTTCAGAATTTTGGAAAGTGAAAGATACCACCAGAGAGTCTATGTACGGGGAAAATAGCAATTAAGCTTACTAATTTTATTGATTTGGCAAACTTTTTGAAACATGTAGTCAATTATTGCAATCTTCCAACAGCTAGATGCTCTCTGAACTCTAATTCAAATTACTGTAAAAACTTTGATACGTCATATACCCATAAAAATTTTTCCAGGGGCGCCTGGATGGCTCAGTTGGTTAAGCGTCTGCCTTCGGCTCAGGTCATGATCCCAGGGTCCTGGGATCAAGTCCCGCATCGGGCTCCCTGCTTAGTGGGAGTCTGCTTCTCCCTCTCCTCCCCAATCATTCTCTCTCGCTCTCTCTCAAATAAATAAATAAAATCTTAAAAAAAATTTTTTTCCAGAAAACTAAGTTATTCCTGTAAACACTTTAAAAACTGTATTTTCTTTTCTTTTCTTTTTTTTTTTTAAAGATTTTACTTATCTATTTGACGGAGACAGAGCAAGAGAGGGAACACAAGCAGGGTAAGCGGGAGAGGGAGAAGCAGGCTTCCTGCGGAGCAGGGAGCCCGAGGTGGGGCTCGATCCCAGGACCCTGGGATCATGACCTGAGCCAAAGGCAGATGCTTAATGACTGAGCCACCTAGGCGTCCCTAAAGATTGTATTTTTCTTAAGTAAACTCTACACCCAACATGGGGCTCAAACTTAAAACCTGAGATCAAAGGTTGCATGCTCTACAGGCTGAGCCAGCCAGGGCACCCCTCCTTTAAGCACTTGAAATAAATTTTCCTAAAATCCATCACTAATGCATTCTCCAAACTTCCTCAACATTACTTTGCCTAAAATTATCTCAGAACATATGTGGAGCTACTGCCTATAAATGAATGGTTGCACCAGTAATGATGCAAATTTTACTGCTGCCTTACTTTAATGTGGAAAACCCCACATTATAGGCTACAAAGTCAAAATAGGTTTTGTTTTGTTTTTTTTACAACTCCCTTGCAGCTAGAGGGTCCATTAGAACTGTTTCTAGCCAACAACGGGAGGCTAGGAAGCTTTTGGGAGAGTTACTTTGCTCCCTAATGAAAAAAGAAAAAAGAACACTTTGCTGTTGACACCCTTTGTTGCCTGCATTATCTTGTAACACCTGAGTGATGTGTCTGGGGAGAAAAGCTAAGGTTAACAAAGAAGAAAATTTAAAAAACACATGGGTTCTTGACATTACCAACCACTGAAGCTACCACTTTTCTTTCTGCTGAGTAAGACAATAAATGCCTACATTTTTAAACGTGGTTTGATGGGTTTCTCCATTACTTGCCAAGAGTCTCCATTACTCACCTAAAATATTCCTAACAAATACAACCCCTCAGGGTGCCTGGGTGGCTCAGTTGGTTAAGCATCTGCCTTCGGCTCAGGTCATGATCCCAGGGTCCTGGAATCGAGCCCAGTGTCGGGATCCCAGCTTGGCAGGGAATCTGCTTCTCCCTCTCCCTCTGCTGCTCCCCGTGCTTATGCTCTCTCTCAAATGAGTAAATAAAATCTTTAAAACAACAAACCCACAAATACAACCCCTTCTAGGTATATGAGCTTTGGTGCATAGGTTCTATAACTCATTTTGACTGCTTTGAAACCTGTTTATTACCTATTTCAGAACTCAAAAAAAGAAACCCCACGGTCCATTCCAACACTTCAAGTAATTTAAAAAGAATTCAGCAACCTACGGAAATTATACAACTGCGCTAAAATCCACAGACCTATTGTCCAAAATAGGTTAAGAATAAAGCATGCCAGTCACATTAAAAAGGAAATTATCTAATGTTTCATACCTGGTGGCATACCAGGCATCAGAGGTGGTATTCCTGGTCCAGGTGGCATCATTCCACCCATTGGCATCATTCTATTGGAAAGCAAATTTCAAGAAACAAACCAAGTTAATTAACAGTATAAACCATTAGAAAATATTTTGGCTACAGCCTGAAACAACAGATAAAAGACTTGAATTTGACCCCTAATATTGAAATCAATCAACCTGAAAGAACACACAACACTAAAACAATTCTATCAAAATAAGCTCTCTAAATACCAGCAAACTCTTGGGTTTACCAGCAAAATAAAGGAAAAAAAAATCAGTCTTTGTTGACAAAACATTTTCATAAATTTAAAGTCACTAAGAACAATTATACCCTCCTTAATATATGTAAGAGGCCTCATCTAAAATATGTGTAATTGGAAATCAAAATCACCTTTTGTCTCACTTGAAAACATCCACACAGAATGTAAATAAAAAAGAAAATCTATTTCAGAGTCATCAGATTTTTCGAAGGAAAGTACTGAATATACACTGTGGAGTAAAGATTTTTTTTTTTTTGGAGGGTTATTAAAAAAAAAAAAACTACCACCAAAATTAAAGACAGTCAAAAGTAAACTCACACAATTGCCTAATTTCTATTTGTAATAGCTACCTTACACTAAACCATGACTTAAAAACATAACCCATATTTATTTTCCTTCCCCTAAAAGAGCTCACCTTCAAATATCAGTATCCAATTCACTTAAAACAGTTAAAAGTTTGTGAATTCTTAACTGAGGACTTTATCAAAAGATAAACTTCTATATATATGTGTGGATTTCATTACAAGAAAACCGAATTACCTTCTATAAATAATAAGGCATGTAATTTGGCAAAAAAGTATCTATTCTTTCTTAAATAACAACCTTTTTACTAAATTCCATTACTTTAGCAGTTTGGGGAAAAACAGCTGCATTTAGAAAATGCTTAATTTATATGGGTCTATTATAATTTCCTCACAGATGTTTTATTTCCCTCCATTAAGAGATCTGTGTCAACCAGCTTGCACATTTTAGAAGTTTAGAAGTTTTAGTGAGGAAGGCTAGAAAATTTCTGAAGTCAACTGAATAGATACCATTAAACACACAAAAAAATGACATTATGATTATACCTCCTGAATTACATTATGAATGAGATGCTTACATGTTTTCACCGCAAAATGACTGGGTGTATTTTCTCTGATGATGCAATCTGTGAAAATGTATGACAAAATCAAAATCTAACTGTGATTTTCAAAATACAGTGGGAAAGTGTATTGTATACCTCTCACATCCAACAATATTTAAGTAAAAGTGATAGGCACGAGCACCTCATATCCATTTTAGTTCTTGAGGATTTGACAAATAAAATCATTTACAGAGGTTGCGTCTTGTCACAAAGTGTCATGGACAATTCTGAATCTCAGAAACACCAATCTATAACCAACTACTTTAATTACATCAGATGCAATTGAAGCAGATGGCTGCCTACAGACATCCTAAAGCCCAAAAATCTATTCTCTTCAGAGGCAAATTTATATTCATTTAATTTGTTGGTAGACCCCTTTATAAGACAAGTTTAATATTTATGGAGCCCATACCTTTTAGAAGGGAAAAAAAAGGCAAAGTAACATTTTAAAATTCATATAACACCCAAGTTGAAAAAGATCATTACTAGGCACAAGTCCGCAAGTCAATTAAAAGTTCTCTTACCCAGGTGGCATGCCTGGCATAACTGGTGGCATTCCTGGCATCAGAGGAGGAACACCTGGCATTAATGGAGGTATGCCTGTAAGAATTTCAACAACCACAAAATATATTAGAGTAAGAGAAAATTTTAATACTTTTACACCATATCAATAAAGTCCTTAAAAATGTTAAATTTTAAGAAACCTTATGTAATACCTGGAGGCATTCCTGGTGCTCCCGGAACTGGTGGCAGTCCTGGCTGTGCCATTGGGGGGATATAACCTTGTTGAGGTTGAACAGGCTGTGGCTGAAATGAAGTTGAAGCTGCAGAGTCATCATCATCATATTCATCAGAATCATCTTGTTGCTTCTTTTTTTGACTCTCTGCTAAAAAAGTTTTAATTAGTTTTTCCCATAAAGTAAAAAAAAGAAAAATTCAGCAAGTTGGACATTCAACATTTAAAAAAAACTATTTCAGGGCGCCTGAGTGGCTCAGTCGTTAAGCGTCTGCCTTCATCTCAGGTCATGATCCCAGGGTCCTGGGATCAAGCCTCACATCAGGCTCCCTGCTCAGCAGGGAGTCTGCTTCTCCCTCTCCCCCTGCCCCTCCTGCTTACTCGATCTCAAATAAATAAAATCTTTAGAAAATAATGATTCCAGTGCAATTAGCTCATGAGATTTTTCTTACCAAAAAAAACCACTCAATACTGTTCTTTTTAAATAAATAAAATCTTAAAAAAAAAAAAGAAATTAAAAAAAAGGGGGGGCGCCTGGGTGGCTCAGTCATTAAGTGCCTGCCTTCTGCTCAGGTCATGGTCCCAGGGTCCTGGGATCAAGCCCCGCATCGGGCTCCCTGCTCAGCGGGAAGCCTGCTTCTCCCTCTCCCACTCCCACTGCTTGTGTTCCTGCTCTTGCTGTCTCTCTCTCCGTCAAATAAATAAAATCTTAAAAATTAAAAAAAAAAACTGTTCTTTTTACTCTTCAAATGGGTTTTCAATCTATATTAAGCAAGATTAACATACTTTCCCTATTTTATGACAGATAAAAGTAATTTTCCTAAGTCAGTTTTATTTTAAAAAATAGCTTTCTATTCCATCCCCAAAGGTAAACTATGACAGAGTTCTGACCTCTCTGCAATGCTTTTCAAAGCAGGTTTCAGGGCACCTGGCTGGCTCAGTCGGTAGAGCATGTGACTCTAGATCTTGGGGTCTTGAGTTCAGGCTCCACATTGGGTGTAGAGCTTACTTAAAAAAAAAAAAATTGGGGGGGCGCCTGAGTGGCTCAGTCAGTTAAGCAGCTGCCTTCGTTCGGGTCATGATCCCAGGGTCCTGGGATCGAGCCCTGCGCCAAGCTCCTTGCTCAGCAGGAGCCTGCTTCTCCCTCTCTCTCCCCCTCCTGCTATGCCTCCTTGTGCTCTGTCGAGTAAATAAATAAAACCTTTAAAAAAATAAATTTTAAAAAATTAAAAAAGAAAAATCGCATGGGGCGCCTGTGTCGGTGGCTCAGTCAGTTGAGTGTCTGACTCTTGATTTCAGCTTAGGTCATGATCCCAAGGTCCTGGGATTGAGCCCTAAGTCTAGGCTCCCTACTCAGTGCGGAGTCCGCTTGAGAGTCTCTCTCCCTCTGCCCCTCCCCTCCCCAAGCTCGCTTGCTCACTCCCTCCCTCTCAAAAAATAAAAAAATAAGCCTTAAGAACATAAAATAAAATAAAGGGGCGCCTGGGTGGCTCAGTTGGTTAAGCATCCAACTCTTGGTTTCAGCTCAGGTCATGATCTCAGGGTTGTGAGATTGAGCCTGGGCTCAGCGCAGAGTCTGCTTGAGATTCTCTATTTCCCCCTACCCCCCACCACTTGAACGTGCTCTCTCACAGTAAGTAAAATTTTAAAAAGAAAAAAATTTCATAGGTGATTAATAACTTCTACCATCTGGATAGTGATCACAAATTCCAAGTCAAACAACAGCACTAAAAAAAATTTTTACTGTTAGTGGTTATACAATTAAAACAAGCGACCTTCATTTTCAAAAACCTCAACACTTGCTAATTCCACTTAGAATTCAGTTAGGAACAAAACATAATAAAGTGTTTGGAATGATCCATGTGGTATTACATATACACAAATTATATATACAACTTCAAACATTAAGACATAAAAACAACACTCAAAATTGGAATTTTGAATAAATCTAACATCCACTATTAAATTTATACGTCAAAAGTATTATAATACTCTCATTAGTGAACCTGTATTAAGAAAAAGCATAGATCTTAATATTTACCTTGTGTTTTCTGTTCAAGAAGTCGTCTTCTTTCATCCATGTCTTTTTCCGGAATTCCTTCCATACCATATATTTCCAATTCTATGTCTGTTCTCCCAGGTATTGCATTTGGTACAGCATCTATTGTCTCTTTATGCACCTAACATTAAAATAAACTTCCATTAGATAAAGTGCCTCATAAAGTCCTTTAAGAGTAATTTGAAATTACTTAGAGAACATTTAGTATAATGGTTAAGAATATTTGGTTCTAGTGAGACTGTCTGGATTCAATCCTTTCTCAGTTTTGCTGCTTACTAACTAGGTATGTGGATTAGGCAAATCATCTAAGATTACTCCACCCATAGTACCTAACATCTAGGATCATTCTAAGGATTAAATAAAATATAATGAACATAATAAAAAGCACTTGATAGTATGTCTAACACAGAGTAAAGGCTCAATAAACATTAATTCAAGTTTACTATAAAGCTTATGAAACAGTCTTATTATAGTAAGAATTAAAATAAAATTTCCAAGAATGGATCTTGAGACAAGCCGGTAAACTATAAAAGTGACTTACAATTAGCATTACCCATAACTAATGAGTTACCTGAGGCACTTAACACTGCACAGGTGATCCTGTCATTACCCTATATTTGGTAGATCACGAAGAGGAGGAAGTTCTATGAAATCTACAACTTTTTTCACTGTACTGTTTTTGCTAGAACAAATGTTTCTAACCTTCAAACACGGGTCTCTTTTGCCAATAAGGTAAAATTCCTGCTAATCTTGGTTTCTTCAGCAACTTGCATTAAACTTAGGCTAAAAAAATGTCAAAGTATTTTGCCTAGGGGCGCCTAGGTGGCTCAGTTGTTGGGCGTCTGCCTTCGACTCGGGTCATGATCCCCGGGTCCTGGGATGGAGCCCCGCATCGGGCTCCCTGCTCCGCGGGAAGCCTGCTTCTCCCTCTCCCACTCTCCCTGCTTGTGTTCCCTCTCTCGCTGTGTCTCTGTCAAATAAATAAATGAAATCTTAAAAAAAAAAAAAAAAAGTATTTTGCCTAGGCTATCAGCATCACCTGAAAGCTTATTAGAAATGCAAATTCTCAGGATACCCCCACCCCATCAGAAACCCTTGGGTAAGGCTAGCAAACTGTGCCTTAACAAGCCCTCCAGGTGATTCTGAGGCATGCTCAAGCTTGAGAACCGCTGATTTAGGTTAGTAATGACTTGGACATATTTGTCCAATACTCAATTTTTCTTTCCTCCCAAGACACTTTCATGTAATAGAAAAGTAATTAAAGGAAGCTAAGTATTTTCTTCTTAGGTATGTATCTCAAAGATTTTAAACAGCAACATGCAAATCAAATTCAAAAATTACCATAGTTTTTGATTAATCTTTAACCACTGTTCCTTATTGTGATTCAAAGATCCATGAATAAAGCTACTCAACGAGCGACTTAACCACCGTTTTCTAAGTTTCTGGAATGTTACTATTCTTGACAAATGCAGATGAAGTAATTCATGTTTTCCAAAGAAAATGATATTCACGTACACATTAATCTTTGTTGTATTTCTAAATGATAAGGCCAAGAATAAACACATCAAAAGCTGTTGGAAAGGAAAAATAACATGATTTACCTTACTACCTCACAATATCCCAGCCAGAATTAGATTTCTTACAATCTTGCCTACAAGTTGGTACGGTCTTGGCTGAAAAGATAGGAGCAAGCACTGATGTGAACCATCTAAATTATTAATGTCCTAGGCTTACCATCTATAAAATTGGATGTATCTGATTTAACTGCCATGCCTATCTCACAGGTTGCTGTGAAACTACACTAGGACTATAAAAATAGAAGCACTTAATCAATTAAAGATGTTACTGACATAATTTCTCAACTAATCTTCTAGTTCCATTCCATTTCTCTGCTCTTCTCTATAGCACAACTTCTTCAAGGAGTGCCTCTACTTCCTTATTTTCTCTTGAAAGCACTCCAATCAGGCTTTCATCCTCATCATTCTAGGAAATCACTCTTGGCAAGTGACCAATGACCTCCACTTTGATTAATCCAATCTCAGTCCTCTTCTTCCTTGACCTACTACCAGCATTTGACTCAATTAAATAACTCACTCCTTGAAACATTTCATTTGGTTTTCAGGGCACTACTCTCTTGGATTTCCTACCTTTTCAATGTCCTTGAATGGTTTATTTTAATCTTCCAACCTTTAAATGCTGGGAGTGGCCTAAGGTGGAGTCCCTGCACTTCTTTTTTATCTATATTCTACTCCCTAAGAGAGAACATCTAGTATAATGAGTTAAAACAGCTGTCCTTATACGGTATCCTTCCAAATTTCTATCTCCAGCTCCCACTTCTCTGAACTCCAGGCTTGTAGACACAACTGCTTATAGGACATCTCCATCTGGATATTCAGTAGACCTTTCCAAAATTAAATACCCATACTCAAAATTAACATAACACAATCTTGATATCCTCATCTCTAAACCAATTCTTTCTGCAGCTTTCTACATCTCAATGTATGGTAACTCGTCTCACACTCCTCAGACCAAAATCCTTCAGATCATCTGTAACGCCTCACTTTATTTTACTCCACATCTAATCCACCTGCAAATTCTGGTCTCTGTCACCATCACCTCGCCTGGAATACTCTAGTCATCTTAAGTGTTCTCACTGCACTCTGCAGTCTGTCTATCTCAAGCCTACAGCCAGGACAAGTCTTTAAAAAGAAAAAAAAAGTGCATCAGAGCATGCTCTACCTCTCCTCAAACCTCCCATTTTGTTCAGAATTAAAGAGAATGGCCTATAGTAAGTAAGCCCTCCTATATAAAAAGCACACTGCTACCCTTTCCTTTTTCTTTCAATATAGGAGAATGCTCCTGTATGTGAGCGTCTTTCATCTGCTGTTCCCTAGAAGCTCTCTCTCACTTCCTTTCACATCTCTGTTCAGATGTCAGTTTCTCATTCAGGCCTTTCCTATCTTGTGGCCCTCCCTATGCCCCCTACCTAGTTTTAGTTTTCTCTATCACTTATTACCAAAAACCTAAATAGTTTTCTTCTACCATATGGATCTAAACTCCACAATGGTGACTTCTTCACAGCTGTATACTTAGTGCCTAAAACACTGTCTAGCACAATACCCTCATAGGAACTTTTTGTGATAAATAATAATATTCTGTATCTAAACTACCCAATAGTTATTCACCAGCCACCTGTGACTGAGCACTGGGAATGTGGCTATAATGTGACGGACATTAAATTTTTAAATTAAGTTTTTTTTTTTTTTAAGATTTCAGAATGAAAAAGCACGAAGGGGGGGGCAGGGGGAAAAGGAGAAGCAGGCTCCCCACTGAGTAGGGAGCCTGATGTGGGGCTTGAATCCCAGGACCCTGGGATCATGACCTGAGAGAAGGTAGGCACTTAACCAACTGAGCCATCCAGGCGCTCCTAAGCTTCTTTTAAGTAGCCACATGTAACTAGTGATTGCCACAGTGGAAAACTGTGTGTCTAGCATGTTGCAGGATCTAAAATATTTTTGAATGGATACTAAATTATTGTTATAGTTATATAATTGGAGTGAAAAAGATCTGTATAAACTTATTTTCTTTTATAAACTTATTTTTAAACTCGGGGAAACAACATCTTATTTTAATTTACCTCCCTGCCTCCTACCAACAGTAGTTTCCAATGAATAGGGATTTGCTCATCTCTCATCTCTCTAGGGTCCAATTAGGCAAAAATTCAGGCAGCTCTAGGACTGGTAAAAGTAGAAGAAATAATGTTGAATAAGACATAAAGGCACTTACTAGATCATTAAAAATATAAATGCAAAGCTCTTCCTACCTAGTAGGGAGAAAAAACTCCAGAAACCCAAAAATTATCAAATGAAACACGACGTTACCATTCCAAAAGAGGTCCATGGAATAACAGAAGCAAGCCTATCCCCAGGCAACAGATTATAACAAATCCTTCAATGGCAGTAATGGTAGCTAATTATGTATTAATTCTCATGGGATTAGAACTGGTCAGTATGACTACAAAATTTAAATCACTGATACTTGTTCTCTAACCCAAGTACAGAGGAGGTACTTTAGGACCTCAACTTAATTGTCACCAATCTAACCTAGGATAAAAGATTATCAATAATTCAAAAATAAACTATCAACATAAATTTTCTCTGAACATTAAAAAAATCAATTATTTATCTTAATGGCTAAAAACAGGTTTTTTTTTTAAAGCTGATTGACCACATCTAATCTTCTGCAATAAACAAAACCCTACAACTGTCAAAGAGAAATTCAAAAATTTTTTCCATATGGTTTCCAAACAAGGGGTAATAATTAAATACAGAAAAAAAAAAAAAAATCCTTACCTGCATGCAATGAATAGCTAAGCCAGGTCCTGTGTACAACTTCTTATGACATATATGGCATTTAAAATGTTTTGCTTTTTGGTGTTGTATAAGAATCTTCTCATCATCAAAATCTCTATTACAATACCTGATCAATGTCGTTAAGGTAAAAACCAGCATAATAATGACACTGCTTATAAAAAAAAATTGTCATATAAGAGAACAGGAGGAAGAACATTAAAATATAAAATCAGTTAAAGCCAAAAATGTAATTTATACAAACTTTGCTTCTGCTATTTACTATACAATTCGTAATTATCTTGCCATGTAACACTAAGTTTCCTGGAAAACCCATAATCTGCCTTCAGGACCTCTAAATGAACACATCTCAGTAATCAGCAATATAGTTTTGTCAAATCCCTGCATTTAACAAAGATTTAAGTGAAACTAACTTTTTTATTCAGTATTTCAACATTTAAAACATTTAAAATGCATACTGTGGACCAGACAGTTCAACGTTAAAAAAATCCCCAAGTTTATGTCAAGACTGAATTTCAAAACAGAATTCATTAAATAGAAAACAAAAAATAATCGAAATGTTAAAAATCTACCTAATATCTGGAATTTAGGAGTATTTATATTATTTAGATCCAAAAATAAGCTCATAACGAGTAAGAACATATCCATATGAACAATCCATAGTTGTCTGAAACTCCTTACAAATGTATGTTGCCATGGAATGTATTTAAACTCACAGATAAGTTACATTAATAAAACTGAGAATTTTTATCTCACTCGTCAGATTTTTCCTAAAAGCACATTAAAAACATCAGTGACCGTTTTTAAACTTGGCAGGTAAATAAATGTAATTCTGTAACAAACTGTTTTTAAGTACAAGACAATAAGTAAAACCAATTTTAACGTAAAGTGTATTAGCGCTTCGGGAAAAAGTGTTAAAAGACGCCACGTTTTAGTAAGCAACAAGAAGCATTTTTTTTTAGCCTTACAAAGCCAGGTAATAGACACAAGAAACTCCACCCTCTAAGAGAACGCTTCTTGAAGATTTAAGGCGCCAGCGGGTGAGACGCGGAAGCTAGTTCTCCCCCAACCCCGGCCAAAAAAAAAAAGGCGGGGGGGGGGTTTCCGAAACCAGGGTCGACTAACACAAGCCTTTACTAAACCACCGAATCTACAATAAAACGGAAAGAGTGGGTGACAGACTCCGGAAGCTCTCCCCTAATCCTCCAAAGACTCAATCAGCGTATTATACTCGAAGAAGGTCCCTTTGTTGAATCGTCACCAAAACAACGGAGTGTGGCAGAATATCCTCGGGGGGGGGGGTCACTGTCCTTGGTGGAGGGGTCCAAGCCGCCTCCCAGCGGCTGGGTCAACGCTCGCACCAAAGCAAGAACCTCCTGAGTCACGGAGTCCCACGACCCCCACCTGCCAGAGCCTCCCGCCTTAGAGACTTCATTTTCTGCAAAGCATTCCCAAATCCGGTTCCGGCACCCAGCCGCCCACCTCGAGGCCTAGATCGCAGACGCTCTCTGCCACAGGCCAGAGCAAGGCCTCCCAGTCCCAGTCACCACCAACCGGCGCCCCCGCTCGGCCTCTACTTCAAACCGATGAAGGATATCAGCACCACGGCTTCAGCTGCTTCTTCTTCTTGCGACCCATAACTGCGCTCTACCGACAAAGTAAAAAGGGGGGGAGAAACTAGCAGGAAAAACGAGGCAAAAACCGCTCACGCTTCCGACCCAACTGCCACCACCGCGTCTCACAGGAAACAGACACAAAATGGCCGACGCCCTCGTTCGCCGCTCTGCTCCCATCAGGCACTGCGGCCGGAGGCGGTGCCAGGCAGGGAAGGGTCACATGACGCAGGCCTCCTCCCTGAGTGGGGGGAGACTCGTGGCCGCTGAGGTGTGGCCGCCATCTTGTCCCTTTAAGCTGTCCTGGCCCTCGTTGGTCGTGCTTGCTGATCCCTCCGGTTTCCTTTTCTAAGGAAGCTGGCTACCGAGGTACGCCGAGACGCTCGCTAATTGAAGGAAAAAAAAAAAAACCTGGAAAGATCATCATTGTAATTAAGGGCAAGACTACAAATAAAAAATGAGACAGCGCCCAACTTTTAATTTTTCGTTGCCCGGATTAATCCTTTCTGTAGTAAGTTTTGGGCGTTTGCTTATTACATGTTAAGTTAAAGAAGTGGCAGTCTCTGCCTTGTAATACACAGATTGGTGGTAGATGAGTAAACAAGGCAGTGTGGTTAGCGCGGTGATGGGGGAAATACAAGGTGCTGCAGACCTCTGGAGGGGAGCACAACAAGGGTCTTGGCGGTCATTGGGGTGTCAAGAAAGGTTTTCTGAAGGGTCCGTGGGGGCAAGGGAAGTGGAAGAGAGAGAATCTCATTGAAGGAGCAACAAATGCAAGTCTTCGAGGCTGAGCGCCTGAAATACACTAACGGTGTTAGGGCTGGAGCTTACAGTGATGGGGCTGGTGGCAAGAGATAATCTTAGGGAGGAAAAAAAAAAAAGGCGGGGGGGGGGAGGGAATCCAGGCTGGAAAGGAAGAAGTAAAACCGTGTTCACAGATAGCATAATCTTGTTATGGGTTGGACTGTGTCATTGTGTGTGTGTGTGTCCCCACCCCGCGCAATCACCCACAAAGAAAAATTAAGTCTTAACCCCCAGCACCTCAGAATGAGACTTTTAGCGGTGAGCTAGCTGACACTCCAGTAGAGGAAACAGACAATAAACAAATATATAATGTCAGGTGTGATAAGTGCACTGAAAAAGAACTTAACAATATAAAGGGACAGAATAGAGACTTGCTGGGATGACAACAGAGGTTTGTGTGGGATGTGTTTTGTATAGGGCATTTTCTGAGTATCTGAGGAGGTGACATTTGTGCAGAAAACTGAATGATATGAAAGAAAAAGGCCATGCAGATATCTAGGGGCATGGGCATTCCAGACAGAAGCACAAATTAAAAGACGGTTATATTGGGAAAAAGTCGAAGGGTTTGAAAAACACCAGGAAATGTGACCAGAACAGAGTGAGCAAGGGAGAGAATGATAGGAAATGAAGTCAGAGGGGGAGGTAGAGGCTAAATTATGAAGGCCTCTGTTGCAGGGTCCTGGGATCGAGCCCCGCATCAGGCTCCCTGCTTGGCAGGAAGCCTGCTTCTCCCTCTCCCACTCCCCCTGTTTGTGTTCCCTCTCTCGCTGTGTCTCTCTGTCTCTCAAATAAATAAAATCTTTAAAAAAAAAAAATTCTAAGACCCAAGCAGGAGAATACAATATAAAATAACAGTTAAGATTATAGATTGATCAGGGTGCCTGGGTAGCTCAGTAGGTTAAGTATCTGCCTTCGCCTCAAGTCATGATCCCAGAGTCCTGGATGGAGCTGGAGTTGGGCTTTATGCTCAGCAGGGAGTCTGCTTCTCCCTCTCCCTCTGCGGCTCATCCTGCTTGTGTGCTCGTGCACGCACTCTCTGTCAAGTAAATAAATAAAATCTTTAAAAAACAAACAAAAAAATGTGGGAGAAAAAAAAAAAGCCAGTAATGAGATTCCATAAGATCACCCTGTCTGCATTACTTTCTTGGAAGTAATTACATTCTGCCCTTCCCCATGTGTATACCTTGTCTCCTTCAATTGTGTTGCCAGGATAAAAAATACTAGATTGTTTTTCTATATGTGCACATATTCTAGTTCATTCTTTTTAATAGCTGCATAGTCTTCAGGTACACGTGTGTATTAGTTTCCTATTGCTGCTCTAACAAAATTAAACACAAATTTAGTGGCTTAAAACAACACAAATTTATTATATTATAGTCCTGGAGATCAGAAGTCTGAAATGGCAGGCCGACATTCCTTCTGCAGCCTCTAGGGGAGAATCACATATTGCCTTTTCTGGCCTCTAGAGAATGCCCAATTTGTGGTCCCAAATCACTTCTGTCTCCCTGTATCACAATTGCCTTCTCTCGATTTCCCGTCTCCTTCTTACAGAGACTCTTAGGGTTACACTGGGGCCTACTTGGATAATCCAAGATAATTGTCCCATTTCAAGTTCCTTAATATAATCACACCTGCAGAGTCCCTTTTGCTGTGTGAGGTAAGATACTCTCAGGTTCCAGAGATTAGGACTTGAACATCTTCACTGGGGGCTGTGGGGGGTCATTATTCTGCCTGCCACTGCATGTACCAAAAACTTACATAATCAGTACTCTATTAACCAACATTCAGACTGTATCTAGTTTTTCATCATTATAAACCATGTTGCAAGGAATATTTTTAGACTTGTATTTTCACACTTACATAAATGTATCCATTTGATGATGTCCTGGTGTTGCATTGATAGTCAAAGGGTATATGAATTTAAAATATTGATAGACACTTTCAAATTCCTTTGTAAACCATGTGCACTGAGGGCACCCAGCTGGCTCAGTTGGTAGAGCATGCAACTCTTGATCTCAGGGTTATGAGTTCAATCCCCACACTGGATGTAGAGATTACTTTAAAAAATAAAATCTAAAAAACAAATAAAATAAAATTAACCATGTGCATTAATTTTATTCCTATCAACTGTTTGGGAGAGTGACTGCTTCTTTACACACCCCAACACAAGGTATTACCAAACTTTCATATCTTTGCTAATCTGCCAGGTGAAAAGTAGTACAATATACTACCAATTTCACTCGAACAGTTTATTTACTTACATATTCTTCATTTTTATTTCTTCTGCGAACTGCCTATTGTCTTTCTTTTTTGTTGATGAATGACAGCCCTTCGTCTATTATACATGTTGCAAATATTTTTCCTAGTTGGTCATTTGTGTTTTGACTTTGGGCAACACAGAAGTTTAGCTTTTACCTGGTCAGTTTTTTTAATCTTTTCCCATGTGGTTTCTAAGTGTTTTAAATATTTAGAAAGGCCTTCTTCAAGAATCTTCAGAATTCTCCCATGTTTTCACCTGGGAGGGGGCGCCTAGGTGACTCAATCAGTTGGGCCTCCTACTCTTGATTTTGGCTCAAGTCATGCTCTCGGGGTCCTGGGGTCAAGCCCGGGGTCAGGCTCTCCACTGAGCAGGGAGTCTGCTTGTCTCCCTCTCCTTGTGGTCCTCCCCCTGCCTGTGCGTGTTCTCTCTCTTTCAAATAAATAAGTATTTAAAAATAAATTTTTATATCTTTTATCAAACTGGTGCACGTGAGTGCGTGTCCACGCTCTTGAAGGGTGGTGGGAGGGCCCATTCATCCTTTTCCAGGTGGCTAGCTAATAGTACCATGTTTACTACGTCTCCTAGACGTCTTAGACGATAGCCAGAGAAGAAAAGGGAGTCAAGAGACAAATGGTAAAAGATTCCGCAGGAGGTAATTCCGCGCGCCCACCAGCCCCTACCAGGAGTAAAGCCCCCCGCCCCCTGCCGCGGGCAGCGGCTTCCGGGCCTGCGACTCCGGGAAACCGGCGGAACGCAGGTGCGCGAGGGCTGGGAGCCGCACGAGCCCGGCCTCGGAGGACTGTACGGCAGCGGGGGAGCGGTTTGGCGGGAACACAGGGCCGCTCGGAGGCCGCCGCCGCGATGCTCCCCTCCTTGCAGGAATCTCTGGATGGGGATGAAAAGGAGCTAGAGAGCAGCGAGGAGGGAGGCTCCGCGGAGGAGCGGAGACTCGAGCCGCCGTCCAGCAGCCATTACTGTCTCTACAGCTACCGCGGAAGCAGGTGCAGCGCCCACCGTCCCTGGAGCCCCGCTCGGGCCCCGCATCCCACCCCTGGCCGCTCGCAAAGGCCTTCTTCCCCTCTCCCAGCCGTATAGTCTCTGGCCCTAAGGACCCTCCTCGCCTCACGCCGTTCTTCCGGGCCACCGTCCTGGACTTTGGCGCCCCTCCTAATCTGCGCTCCAACTGTCCCTCTCGACTTTTCAGCCCCTTCCTGTCGCCCCTGCCCTTTGTTTGGCGCAGCGCCTCGTACACTCATTAATGTCAATTTCCACCCGGTCCTTCCTGTCATTACCGCCCCACTTTCTCCCATTAGCCCCACGCATTCACACCTCCACCCCACCCTCTGATTTATCCTCCGTTCTCGCTGCCTCCTTTTCCTCGGTCGGGGCAGACATTCCTGGGTCTCTCTTGGGCCTGGAAAGTCTGGTTTATAGAGGAAATTTCCTCGACTCTTGTGGATGTTTAGTTTAGCCTTTCCTCCACCCCTTAGACGGCCTGGAGAAGGGACTCTTGTCCGCACCGTTTCATGGGTTTTCCCTGTCACGAGGCTCCGTAGGCAGTGGAGGATCCACGCACTTCTAACTTGCAGCATTTTCAGTTGACTCTTCACCCCCACCCTGCTTGCCGGCGGGGAGGGGGCCATACTGCGCTTGAGTTAGAGCCCATAACTGATAGCTGTACTGGTTTTGTGGTGTGCAGATTGGCACAACAGCGAGGGGACAGTGATGATGGAAGCCCAAGCGGCACAAATGCAGAAACGCCCTCTGGTGAGGATTTCAGGTAAAAACAGCTCGACCCTAACCCACGCGTGTGCTTTCATCTTCTGTGCATCTCTGTCCTGTAGATATCAGTGGGTACCCACTTTCACTTCAGCTTTCCCCGAGTCAAACCACCAAGCCCACCTATCCCCTAGGAACCTCACCTGGATTTCCTCATTAGTCCATTCATTCAAGGCTGGGCCGATCCAAATACTGGCAGTGCCCCTGGTGATTTAGCCAGAGGCAATCCATCTTAGTTCCTTGATTGGAACTGCATTAAGTATTCAATGTCATATGGGTATAAAGAAATCTAAAATGCTCCTTTTCCCCACCTTTAGTACCCTTTCAGAGCTCCATTGCTACACACTGGAATG